CTCACAGTAAAAACAAGGAAACAAAATTCCATCTGTCTCTTCAAATATATTAGATTCTAAGCAGAAAGGTCTTCTTGTTAAGAATCACCTTCATGCTCTTCAAAACTGAACTACAGAAATTCATGCTTAAGAAAAATGAGTGAAACAAGCTAACTCCTTTTCCTCGAAGAGATTTTCAGGATTTTTTTGAAGAGGAATGCTGGTTCCCAGTGCAACTAAATAAGAATCCAATTACTCTGCTCTCTGTTAAGCAACAACAGCCCAATGTAGTCTGAGTAATCTTTTCGTTACAGAACAAATATTTTTTTTCACTGCCATCAAAATGACCCTTAGTATTACAGATTCTCCCTGGAGCCCTTTTTGAATATCTAGTAATGTACTTTGAAGGTGATCACAACTACACTTTGTCCCTCCTCTGTTATGTAGGCTAAATGTCTCTGCTGTGAAGAGAAAATAGATTGAGACATCAAACACGTTTGTAAAATACTAAATTCACTAGGCTGTATATAAGAAGACAGAAATAGAAAAATTCTTTTTGAAACAGGGTTGAAAATACTGAACAGAAAATGAATGAATGAGCCAATATGTATGTACAAGATACAGAAATAATACTCTTCATGAATCTTTACATTTGTAACATTAATCATAAGAATATATCCAAACATTTAATGAAATTTTTCACAAAACAAAGATTTTAGATTTTGTTCTCTCTTGTCAGATTTTATTACACTCAGGTTTTTAATAGAAGTTCTGAAAAGATGGATTATTTCCAACGAAAATGCAGAGACTGTAAGAAACTAAACACACTGAAAATGCCCAATTGTGAGAAAAGAGAAACAAGAGAATATGTGTGGCATTTGAGGAAAAAAGTGATGATGCGGAGATTTTATGATGCTCATAAGGAAAAATCTATCAAACAAAGGTCAGAGCAAAAAATCTGTTCCAAGGAAAGTTCAGGTCAAATGAATGACAATTGATGACAAACGAAAGATTTGATCTGGATGTGAAGGATAAATTTGGAGTCTGGAGTAAAGGAACAGCAGAAGAAAAAATAAAGCCAGAGGAGTCTTATTATAAATGTTAACCTTGTCTTGAAGAAGGGAGGAAAGGTGTCAACCAGTAGACAAACCTCAACCATGAAAACTATAAAAAGTGGTAGTTTGAATAAATAATGAAATAAATAAATAGATAGAATATACCCATAGTGATGAATGGAAAATGGAGTGAGGATGGCACAGAACATGAATGTGCAGCGAAAGGAAATCCATTGCCCTCTTCCCTTGTTCTCTGTATGAGGCTTTCTGTTATCACATCTGTTTATTATAAAGTCTTCAGAGAATCTGATATATCTTAAGTGGATTTCCTCACACATTATGGGCTATATTAACAAATAATGAAAACAAATAGTTGCTTTATCTTTTCTGAAAGACACTCCTCTAGTTTATACARTCAAGGCAAATAAATGAGTAGTCTTGTGCTTAAGCTTCCCTTCAGAAAGTATTGTGCTCATCTACAGAAGCACTGTGTGACTTGATAAAGCTACCCAATGTAAAGGCTATAAAAATAGAATTTTAATATAGCGGTGAGATTGCTTTAGAATTAGTCACAGAAGAGCACTATGATCCTTATTTAAAGTATAACATCTTCATAAAATACAAACTACACTATAGTTCTGACTGACTTGGGAACAAACATTATCCTTACACCATCAAAACCTTACCAGCTATTCCAGCCCATTTTCTGGCTACTGACAGGGCAGAAGGAAAGGTATTAGATTTTCATGTTATAAGGTGACAACAGAAAGTGACATGACTGTCATTATGTGTGTAGATGTTCACAAGCCCCTATGGAGRTCTGCCAGTCCCAGTTCAGTAGACTTGAGCTTTCTTCTCTGCCAGGTTTCACACTAAACTGATTCTTGACCTTTATGTCTCTTCTATGCTTTCCTCTGTTACCTTGAATCTCCATAAAATGTTTTGTGACCTCTTTCAATTTTATTGTCTTTTCTCCTCTTGTTCCTACTTCACTTTTTTTACAATTAATCCTGATAAAACACTAGTTTGAAGTTAAAAATCAGACAGTTTAGTTTCTGAAAGCATGCATGCTGTTTTTCTAGAGTAATATTTCTCTTTCCCTCTCTGTCTTTATCTTTAACTCATGTTGTCTCTCTTCCTCCTTTCTTCCTTTTCTTTCATTTTTTTTTTCATTTATTTCATGTCACATTTCCATGTACATGTACTACTTGAGCTGAGCAGTCAAGAGCAGTTAATACCTGGGATATCCTTGGAGGCAAAATTATAGTAATATTTGAAGTCACTAGCACTCTGCAGAGGAAAATGTAATCTATGTTTTTTAAAGACACTTTAATTGCTCAGCAATCATGCAGAACTGAGAAATATAGCTCTGCTTCCAAGGTAATAACTCCCCAAATTGCAAAGGTCGCTTACTCAATACCCTTGCTATCTAGAAAAATACGACAATGACACCAAGACTCMAAACCTCAATTTTATATTAATCTATTATTCGCTATTAGCTTTCATGTATTTTTGTAGTATTTCACATAACCTGATGTGTGCTACTGTCATTTAAAACATAAAGACTTCATCAAGCTTTACTCCTAAAAGAGAAAAGTTGTTCCTATTTAATCCATTTATAAACCCCTGATTCAGTTAAAACTAAAGTTAAAATGAACAGGAGTTCTGTATTAGCAAAGAGGGGATAAACTTTAGCTCATAGAAGAGATATCAGAACTAATTACAATTAGCTTTCACTAACCCTTGATGCTTTTCCTTGTGATTTCCCTCTCTTTTTGTGTAATTATTCCATCAACTAAAAAGATTTCAAAGCTTTTATTATGTTAATTTAATTTAAATTATTTATATATATATATATATATTTAAACATAATCTTTATATAGTTATCATGATGTTATTAAAAGGATATAATCTAGATTACACCCTGATTAAAGATTTTATAGAAATTGGTGATGTCCATCATGTTTTAAACTGTATCATACCTGAACTCCTGACAGTGGGACTTTGGATCTCTGTACAACCTGCTCAGAACTTTCTCTGTGCAAACTACCTTGAAAAAGGAGTCACRCATGAATGGACTCTCTTTAACCCTTTTTGTTCCACTTGGGACCAAAATATTGTGTGGCTGTGTATTTAAAAATAAGTTCTTAGGCTCTATTCAAAGAGATTTGAAATTGTGTTCAAATCTCATCAGTGCTTTTGAGCATTTTACTCTGAGTAATACTTCAAAACCTGGAATTACAGAATGATACTCGTGTGTGTGTGTGTGTGTGTGTGTGTGTGTGTGTGTGTGTGTGTGTGTGCACCAAAGAAGCAAACAAATCAAATTAACACCAGACACTGTTATTATCAGTTGCAATTTGGGCCTAAAAAAATAAGATTCTTTTCAGTACCATGGACAAGTACTCTCCACATTGTGCATGAGCGTGGAAATAACTTTTTCAAAGTACCTTTTGTTACCAAAAAACCCATAGGCCAKCTTTTATACTAAGATAATACATTCTACATATCAGTAAATTCTTTCTTGAAACATCACTATTCTAATTAAAAATAAATAGTAGAAAGTACCACCATCAGAAAATACAGGATTGTGGAAGTAGTTTTTTTTTTTTCTTCTGCTAGCTGGTCCCTTCCATTTGTCACCAGCAGAAGAAAATGAAAACCAAAAAAACCACCCAGGAACCTAAAAGGCAGATTAAAATCCCCAAAGCTCTTGTCACTCCTTTTTAGCATAACTTGCCCTTACAAGAAATATGAAATATTTACTATGCACTATATTTATCTTCATTTGTTATATCACACTGAAGATAAAAGCCTTGTATAAAAATGGTGGCATAAGATATTCCCTTTATCTTTTTTCAATATTTTGTATGTGCATTTCCCAAGTAAATTACAATTGCACATAATAAATCAAGTTTTTCATAATAGTTTAATAATGCACTTTCATTCTGTTAAATTTAAAAGTTATACATGTTTCATAAATCTCAACAATCCCAACAAGATGTGGCAAAATGCTAATGGGCTTTGCCTTAATGAAAGTGCAAAGTTTGTCACTTAGTATCTATAATTATTAAATATGTAGCCATACTACATATGGTACACAGAATCAGCTGACACAATCAGACTCTGGTATCAGAGACTTTATAAAGTAATACTATCTCCCTTCTTTCTATTAATAACTGCATTGAATTCTAATGCCACCAATGACACTTTTTAAAACCCTAATTCTTTGAAAGAAACTGTACTGCATTAGAATTATGTTTAAAGACATGCACATGATGTGTCATATGTCTCACACTTCCTCAGATCATTTTCCAGAGTGTGTCACCAGTCACTGTAGCTTGGCACTCACCATTTAAAAGTTGCAGGTCCGTGAAAATCAAAGGAAATGTGTTCAGTGTCTTAAATAAAACCAGGAATATATTTTTGGTAAATGTATGATTTTCATGAAAACAAATCACTTGTAATAACAAACTCAATGTCCAGGTCTACATCAATACATTACTTCAAACAAAATGGCAGATCCACATACCAATCAAATTAAAAGCTTGCACTYGGGTTCTCCTTATAAATATCACTTCTTTAGCAACTCTGTAACAGGTCCTGCCAGCAAAGACAATATTCCATCAAAAATCCACTGGTAACTCACAGATATTCATAAAATATTCCAATTTCACGGTCCAAAACCAAACAGTTTCAAGATTTTTTTGCTTTGCTTTGTTATTTTCATTTTCAATTTTTTTGCAGCCTTTGGATTTGGGTTATTTTAATTTCAGCAACGCTGTTAACTCTATTAAACATGTAAAACATTTAGAAAGAAGTCACAAGTTGTATTCATAAAGTTGTGCAGCAAAAACTTACCCTCACATTTTTTTCTATCACCATATTTTTAAAATTCAGCATTTTCCGTTCGTGCCAATACACTTGTTGAAACCTTGGCCATAACCAAACACCAGCTGCACTTACCCCAGWGTTGTCATGGTGACGATGGTGTACCAGAAGGCTGCAGGGATGCTGGTGAACTTGCTGGCTGATGAACCTTTCTCTGCATAGTACATGACTGTGGCAAAGATGATGATGGCCATAGTGAGTGAGAACAGGAGGAAGCCTAACTCCGAGGCACAACTTTTCAGCGTATAGCCCAGGATGCGCAGACCCTGTGAGTGGCGGGAAAACTTAAAGATCCTGAAGACACGAAAGACTCTTAATGTCACAAAAGCCCCACTGACATCCTCGTTATCTGTCATCACCAGGCCAATGTAATATGGCATGATGGCCACCACATCAATGATACTCATGACGCTGCGCACAAATTTGTAGCGACTAGGAGCTGCCAGCAGACGTAGGAGATATTCAACTGTGAAGATCATGACACAGGCAGTATCCAGACAGAAGAAAGCCACCGCGTACCGCTCCCCACAGGGCAGCTCTTTGATGCGACCCGGGCTCACCCCACAGGGCACTGTCTCTACCACATTGGCAATAACAGAGACAGCAATGAAGAAACCAGTGACATAGTAGAAGACCAGAGCAAGGGTACTGGTGTGTGGGTTTTCAAAAGCCCGCCACATCCTCTGACGAGCTGTCATTGAGGGTAGGGAGCTCTCAGGTACATTATCCTGATCAGCATCATCCTGTAGGCGCTCAGCATTCTCACGCCGGCGATCCTTGTACTCCTCGTAACAGCAGTCCCCAATGATCTCAGGGATGATGCCAAAGAAGGCCAGCTCCTCATCATAAGCTGAGATGCACTCCTGGCGGGGATAATGGAGCTTCCCGGTACGGTAGAAGTTGAGAATGTGGCGGAAAATGTCAGGGTCCCGATCAAAAAAGTACTGCTGTGTCTCAGGGTGGTAGAAGAAGTCCCGCTCTGAACTGCCCAGCAGAGTGTCAGGGTAGCGCTCTAAGGTGTCCAGCCACGTCTGGAACTGGATGCCACTCACATTCAGCACAATCAGAGAATCCTGGCTTCGCTTTCTCTCCTGTCGTGGAGCAGCTGGCATGGGACCAGTAGCCACTGGCATCCATCCTATGGCTGCTGCCCTGGCAAAGGGTAACCAAGCTGCTACTCCTGCCGCCATGGTTCCAAACACCTATTACAGCTAAGGGAGTCAGTCTAAACACAGTTCTGGTCCAGCCACTAAAATAGAGAGGGAAAAGAAAAATATAAATTCTCACATAGTTTTGAGGCAAAATTCTTAAGCCTTTTGAGCAAAATTTTTAAGCCTTTTTATGATATTCAATATTAACTGAAAACCTTTTTGCTTCCTTTTTGTTTCCTCCACTTTTCCACCCAAGAATATGCTTTCCAGGCACTGGTTAGACTGTTAGGACAATAAATGAGGGCACTTGTATATTCCTGGATTCAAAGCAGCTATTCTAACAGCCAGATCCTTTGRATATAAGCTCTCCATGAGGGGCCGTTGGATGGAAGCCACAGTCCTCTAAGCAGTAGCCCCTGGAGCCGGCTAGTAGCTCTGGTGCAGCTGTGCAGCCACCTGGAAGGAGATCTTCCTCCACGCGCGATGCAGCCGGTCCCCCCGCCCCTCCTCCGCTCGCTCCCCGCCCGCCGCCGGAGCCGGGCCGCGGCAGCCGCCGGAGCCTTCCCGGGCTCTGCAGCGGGGCCGCCAGCGCGGTCGCCGCTCGCCGTGGCGGGGCGGAGGGGATGGGCCGGGCGGGCCGCCCCCTCCCCGGCGGCAGCTCTGGAGCAGCGGCGGGATGAATCCTCTCCCTAACCTTTAATCGCCGCCCGGGGACACCTCCAGACCCCGGCTAGGGGCCGGGGGAGCCGGCAGGGCAGGGGGAGGAGCTCCGGGCGGCAGCATTAAACTTTAAGGCAAGTTTTCTGTGCAGGAAATGCTTTGAAGGGCAGAGGGATGCCAGGGATGGGGCGCTGGGAGCCGGGAGCGCCCCACAGAGAGGGAGCGGGCAGAGTGGGGCTCTCCCCGGGACGGGCATCGGGGCACCGACAGGGGCAGATCTGCGGCGAGGAGACCGGGATCGGGCCGAGCCCCCGCGGTCGTGGCGGGGATAGGAGCGGGGGCTTTGGAGACACATGCAGAAGGTGGGGGTGCACGGGGCATCCCCGGGAGCACCCGAGCGGCGGCGAAAGGCGAAACCGGGGGAGGCTGGCGGTGGAGCGGGAGCGGGGCAGGAGCTCCCTGGCGGCGGGGGAGGCCGGGGCGGGGGGGGGAACGTGGGGCAGGGTGCGGGGTGCCGTAGCGACTCGGCGGTCGGCGGTGGATCATGCCCCCCCCCTACCCCCCCTACTCCCGCCTCCTTCCTCTCGCCCCTTCCCCTCGGCTCAGTTCTCGAATCCCTCCAGACGTGCCCAGTCTGCGGCACCTACCTGTGAAAGTCTGGCGAAAGCGCTCAGTTGCATAGAGACTTTTGGAAATACGGGCTCTGCCGCTAGATCTCCGCGCCCCGCCGGGAACGGCGGGGAAGTAGTTGCTCCTGAGAAAGCTTGATCACATCCAAAGGGACATCGATAATAAGGCTTTCCCCCACCCCCACCCCCCTCCGCCACAGCCGAGCGCCAAGCAACAAGTTCAAGGGGTGGGTGGGGGGAAAAAAACAACGTAATCGCGCCTGGCAGCTCGTGGAGCACGTCCTTGCGGGGCGCGGATCCTGCGGCGCGGGGCCGCTGTCAGGCGCGGCTGCGGCTGCGGCCGCTGCCCCTGCCCTG